AAACATATATATAAACTAATAGTGGATATAACCTCCAACCATAATTAATCCCAAATGAGCCTATAATTTAAAGCAAGTCCTTAATGCCTTAAATAAACCTAACAACTCAAAAATAAACCCAAATTAAATGAGCCTAGAATTTAAAGCAAATCCATAATACTTTAAATAACCCAAATAGACTCAAATATAAACACAAATTAAATGAGCCTAAAATTTAAAGTGACTCCATAATACTTTAAATAAACCCAAATAGACTCAATTTAATTGTCCAAACAAAATAAACCTTAATTTATATGTCGTTCTCTTATAACATATAATACATGATTAATAGTATCATACCATATAACACATAAATCATGCAATAACAAGTAATATGGACAACCACATTAATAAGCAATCCATATCAATAATTCAATATCAAACATATATATAGAGCAGTACATGCATCCACGTATGACGTATATGTTTGTTGATTATTCCAACATAGCAAAGAGCATACACTACGTACATAGCTTATAATTTTCCTTTTGAACAGTACGTATATATGCATATATATGTTGATCCTATTTGATTCAATTTCAAAACAACATTTACATACATATATGTATATGAGCTACTTCCCAGAGAACAGTACATTGCACAATAGATTCCAGAACAAGCAAATCAGTTTTTCTTTTAATTAAATATGTATATGAACAGTGTGTGAATCCATCAAATATTCGCATAAGATATTTAATTCCAAGAAATCAATTGTTGTTAACATCCATAACAATCCATCATCAACGATGCAGACCATACATATGGCGCAATAAACAACAAACCCACAATCAATAAACCTTATAATTAAAAATCCCCAAATATCATGAACCCTAATTTTAGTGATTAATCAATTTACAAGCAGGCTCTGATACCAAATGTTAAATAATCCTTTATGCGCTATAACTTAAATGCGGAAGCACAATTAACAATGATCGCATGTAAATCAAATCAATCAACTAAACAATGTTCATGATCATAGACTTTTAATTAAATAGGGAAGATAAGACTTACTTGGTTCCATTGAAGATGTAATCTCTAAATTGAATGAATCAAGAATATAATGCTTCACCTCTCTGATCCATATACCTTATTCACCTCCTGATGATATGGAGACTAGAAAACTTAGAGATTTGAAACTGTTAAGATCCCTAGAGTTTTCCTGGGTATTTCTAGATGTGATGAGAAACCCTCTTTCAAGAGGAATGGGGAACCTCCTTTAGGAATAGAAATCCCTTTAGGAATGTGACCTCCTTTAGGAATAGAAATCCCTTTACGATTGTTAAACCTATAACCTTATCCATTATACATCTTTTAACCCTTATAAACTTAAATTTTAGCAGAATAAGAGGGAGGGAATTTCACCCCGTAATTCCGCCTTTACACCTCACTGATCATCAATGTGAGTACCTTATGGAATTACAACCTTTATTATATAAATCATTGTTAGGAAATAATTATTTCTAACAGTCTCCCACTGATTCATATGAGCATGACACCTTAATTATATGAATCAACATTAGGAATAAATTATTTCTAACAATATGATGATCTAATCGTTAATGGGATTAATCCATATTATACACAATGGATTTGGCACGGTGAAAGCGATGTGGCTACAATATCTAACATGTATGTTGACAATGAAAATGATGAGTCTGAAGATCGGTTGGATGAAATGTTTCGCGATGTTGGAGAAGAGTTTACCAATCGGTCAAATGAGTTGGATGAATTATTGAATGATTCAAAACAACCTTTATGGCCAGGGTGTAGTAAATATACCAGATTATCTGCTGCATTAAAATTATTCAACTTGAAAGCTGGGAATGGGTGGAGCGACAAGAGCTTTACTGCGTTACTTAAAATAGTCAATGATATGCTTCCAGATGGTAATGAACTTCCCAAAAGTACATATGATGCCAAAAAGATGTTGTGTCCCATGGGTATGGGATACAAAAAGATACATGCTTGCCCTAACGATTGCATATTGTTTAGGAATGATTACAAAGACTTGCATGCATGTCCAATATGCGGGGCATCTCGTTATAAAACAAGAGAGAGTGGTAAAGTACGTTTGAAAAGTCCATCAGCTAAAGTTTTGTGGTATCTCCCAATTCTTCCAAGATTTAAGCGCATGTTTGCAAATCCAAGCGATGCGAAGAACTTATCATGGCATGCAGATGAAAGAATTTCCGATGGCAAGCTTCGACACCCGGCTGATTCTTCTCAATGGATAACATTTGATAATGCATATCCTGAATTTGGCCACGAGTCGAGAAATCTTAGACTTGGACTTTGTACTAATGGTATTAACCCCCACGGGAACCTAAGTAGCAAGCATAGCTCGTGGCCAGTTATGTTGATAATTTATAATCTGCCCCCGTGGTTGTGTATGAAACGCAAATACATATTATTAAGCTTGATGATTTCTGGGCCAAAACAACCAGGTAATGATATAGATGTCTTTTTGGCGCCTTTTATTGATGACTTGAAGCAATTATGTGATGAAGGTGTGTTAGTGTTTGACGCATACGGGAAGGAGACTTTTAAGTTGCATGCAATGCTTTTTTGCACAATCAATGACTTTCCAGCTTATGGAAACTTGTCTGGATATAGTGTCAAAGGTCATAAGGCATACCCCATATGTGAAGATAATACCTATTATCGTCAACTGGTTCATGGTAGAAAGACTGTATACATGGGGCATCGGAGACTTCTTGATAAATTTCACCCTTATAGAAAATTAAAAAAGGCATTCAATGGGGTCCAAGACTATACAGATGCTCCACAACCATTAACAGGGAATCAAGTTTATGAACGAGTTGAATGCATCAATGTTAATTTTGGTAAGACTCAAAAGATTCAATCTCAAAGAGGTAAGAGGTCAAAAGAGATACCTACAAATGAGAAGAGTCCGTGGAAAAAGAAATCTATATTCTTTGATCTTCCATATTGGAAGACACTAGATGTGAGACATAGTATTGATGTGATGCATGTGGAGAAAAATGTATGTGATAGTCTTGTTGGAACTCTTTTAGACATAAAAGGTAAGACTAAAGATGGACTCAATGCTAGATTGGATTTGGTTGAAATGTGTATACGACCTACATTAGCTTCACGTTGCGGGGATAAGAGAACATATTTGCCTCCGGCTGCTCATACTTTATCAAGAAAGGAGAAAATAAGTTTTTGTGAGTGTTTACGTGGAGTAAAGCTACCACAATGGTATTCATCAAATATCAGTAGACTTGTTAATATGCAAGATTTAAAGTTGGTGGGGTTGAAGTCTCATGATTGTCATGTCTTAATGCAACAACTATTGCCAGTGGCTGTTAGAGGCATATTGCCTAAAAAGTTGAGATATACCATCATAAGACTTTGTTTCTTTTTCAATGCAATATGTGGGAAAGTTGTTGATCCAGACAAATTAGATGAATTGCAAAATGACATTATTGTTACACTGTGTCAGCTAGAGATGCACTATCCACCTTCATTTTTTGATATCATGGTTCATTTGCTTGTGCATTTGGTGAGAGAGATCAAACATTGTGGTCCAGCTTATTTGAGGTGGATGTACCCATTTGAACGGTACATGAAAGTATTAAAAGGTTATGTTAGGAACCGATATAGGCCGGAAGCATCTATAGTTGAAAGCTATGTTGCAGAGGAGGTTACTGAGTTTTGTACAGAATATTTGGCAGGGGTAGAGGCTATTGGTGTTTCTACTAATCGACATGAAGGAAGAATTGCTGGGAAGGGTACTCGAGGAGTCAAAATGAAGACTATGCCTCGTGAAGATGTTGAGGAGGCACACTTGTACATCTTGCATAATACAAGTGAAGTCGAGCCGTATTTAGATGAACACAAGGCATTGATTAGAGAGCAAAATCCCAGAAGGACAAACATGTGGATTGTGGGCGAACATAATCGAACTTTTATTCGTTGGTTCAAAAATAAAGTTATTGAAGAGAATAATATGTCTGAAACTGTTTCATGGTTAGCACATGGTCCTGGTTTGGATGTCATATGCTATAATGGATATGGCATTAATGGGTTTTCTTTTTATACAAAAGCTCAAGATGAAAAGAGCATTATGCAAAACAGTGGAGTTACTTTGGTTGCAAATTCAATGCATTTCAGTAGTTCGAAAGATACAAATCCTGTGTTTGCAGAGTTGTCATATTATGGTGTGATTGAAGAAATATGGGAAGTTGATTATGTTTTTTTTAGGGTGCCTGTGTTTCGATGTAGATGGGTAGATAATAAACATGATGTAAAAGTTGATGAGTTGGGATTTACACTTGTTGATTTTAATCGTTAAGGGCACAAATATGAGCAGTTCATAATGGCATCCCAAGCAAAACAAGTCTTTTATATTAGTGATCCTTGTGACAAAAAATGGTCAATTGTTCTTCATGGAAAGAGACAAATTACTAGAGATGAGAATGAAGATGTTAGTTTTGATATTGAGGAAATACCACCATTTTCTTCAAGTTTATTGCCCACTATTATTGATAATGAGATAGATGAAGTACATGCATCACGAGATTATCATCATGAAGGGATATGGGAGAATTGATTATTAAATGTAATGCCCACTATTTATTTTGTTTTTTAGTTTTCTTATTGTAGTACTTTTATATATTCTAATAATTTTTGTTTCTAAACAGGCGTATGGATTCAGCAAATGGTGATGGTACTACACAGGATGGTACTACACAGCATGGTACTACACAAGATACTCATACTACTAAAAGTAGTAATACTACTTCTAGGACGAGGGGCGCCACTCGTATGCAAAAACTCATTCTGCAGCGTTCTACTGAAGGGAAACACCACATTGAGCTGGATGGATTGGAGCCTGTCTACGGGCCAGAAGGCAGTGCCTTTAAAAGTTATGTTGCATTAGTGGGACGAACACATACTCCTATCACAATAGATGAATGGCCGAATGTTCCATAAACTATTAATAATACTATTTGGAAACAAATCCTGGTAACTTTTCATTTTGTAAGATTTTGATTTATTCATAAAGTTTCTATAATTTCATTTCTAACTAATATATAATTTTGTTTTGCAGAATACTTTTGATATTCCCGACACAACTGATATGAGGAAAGAATGGATACAATATGTGGGTGATCGGTGGAAAGATTTTTAAGCGAAATTGGTGAGCAAGTATATATACGGTAGTTTTGCAGGTATGAGCCCATGTATAAAATACGACTTCATTGAACAAGAGACATGGAATGAGTTTGTAAAGTCGCATACAGGTCCAGCATATGAGGTATCGTTATTATTCTATCAATATTTCGAACATAAACTCTATCATTATTATGAGGGACATGTAAAGAGTTTGATTAATATTTTTTATTTATATAGGCAAAAAGAAAAAAATTTCAAGACATACAAGCTAAGAATATTCATCCACATCTTTTAGCTCGAGGAGGTTATAAAAGGTTGGAGAAGATGATGATGGATGAGAAGTTGAAAGAAAAACAAGCATTGGCTGATGCAGATCCGTCGTATACAATGAGTCCTCCAAGTCCTCCACGTAGAGCCGAAAAGTGGAAGAAAGCAAGAATTGACAAGTCAGGAAATTATCGCACTGAATCAACAAGATTGGTGGCGGAAAAAATTGTAAGTAAATATGTTGTCATTTACTAAAGTAATAGTAATTATTATTGAATAATTTTTATATATGTTAGGATGCTCTTGAGATCCAAATTTCTCAAGGAGAATTTGTTGAGGAAGGAAGACAAGATTCATTGACTGTTGCATTGGGTACTGATGAGCATGCTGGACGTGTTAGAGCCATGGGAAGAGGACATGGCTTCAAAAGTGTATTTGGTCATGCAAAACGTCGCCAAAAGCCTTCTGAAGATGTTCAACAAATGGTTGATGATGCTGTTGCAGTAGCGTTAGAAAAACAAAAGCAGGAAAATATTGCTGAATGGGAGGAATTTGGTCAACGATTAACTGATCAATTTGAGGCAAGAATAGCTAGTATGATGTTGAAATTTAGTGCTATGCAGACTCCTTTACAAGCAAAGCAGGTGGATGACGTACGTGTGGATGTTATGCCACTGCCTCCAAGTGACAAAGCTAGTTCCCCAGACCCTTTTAGTAATTTACCGCCTGTAAGTATTCGTTTAAAGTTATCTTATTATTATTTATCAATAAAAGTTTATATGATTTTTAATTAAAAATTATTGTAGTTAGGGGCACGATGTCAACTGTTCTTAGAAGATCCAATTAGACGTCCAGTGGCATATGGGACAGCTTACAGTGGTGGACAGGTTCATGGGGTTGTACTGGATATAAATCATGTGAAGGTGAGCGTAAATGAAGTTAGTGATCCAAGCGCACATGTACCAATTCCCACCAGTGAGGTTCAGCTTGTAGGTGATGCAATTCAACACTTTATTGCTTAGCCAAAGAAGCTGGTAGAGTTATGTACTAAATCTGATGCGGTATGTATACTGAAAATATTTCTATTTTAAAATAGTAAGTAATTTACTTTTTAAAATAATAATTCTTACTTGTATTATAATTCACAGTCAAAAGAAAAGGCCAAATTGATCTTTCATTCGGGTGTGCAATCCGTTCATCAACAACACAATGTAACTGATCATGATTCTTTGACTGATCGATGCAAAATGGCCTTTTCAATAGCTCACCGTTTTGAACACCCTCTTGTGGTCCATGTGGCTCTTGGTATTATGGGCAACATTGACTATGACTTGCACCTTGCAAGTGATGAGATAATGCGTTTCTTACAAATGGAGACCATCGATGTCTCTCTAGTTCAGTTCTTTATGAGGTAACAAGTTCTTTAGTATTATTTATTCATAATAGTTTTATATTTATATAGTTGGTAATCTATATATAATTGGTTGTGTTTTTGAATAGGGGTGTTTATATTGATTTTGAGTTGGCATCAAAAGACATGTATGGCTTCCTAGATCCATATTGGATTCAACCACAAATGAATAATATGGAAGACAGGAAATCGTATATAAATTCCACCATGCAGTCTGGGAAGAAAGTGGTATACTTAGCCCCATATGTTCTTAAGTAAGTATTAATTACGTTTTAAATAAAAGTACTTATATATAATATATTTTTATTATATATTATATTCACTTAAAACTAATAAATTATTTATTTGTAGTGAGCATTGGATGTTGATGGCTATTTGTCCTCGACGAAATGAAATTTTTTGGTTTGATTCACTTGGTCATGGGCCGCGTGAAGACATTAAACATATAATGGAAACGTATGTAAATTTATATAATTAATTAGTAGTTATCATTAAACTAGTGATGCCAAGTATTTATATATATTCTATGTCTTATATTAATAGGTGTATGACTGCAACAAACATGATGAGTGGAAAGAAACAAAATCGTTCACCAAAATGGACTATATGTTCGGTAAGTACTTCATTCACATTGTAAAACATGCAAACTTATTGTTTTTTTTATTAATTTATTTTAATTTGAATGTAATTCAATGTAGTGTGCTATACAAAAGGGAACCACCGAGTGTGGTTATTATGTGATGAAGTTCATGTTGGAAATTAGTTGATGTTGAATGTTAAATTGCTAGCTGCGTAGGATTTGAAAATTGATACAGGTTGGGTAGAAACCATAAAACGAATATAATAATAAAAAAAAATAACATACGATGTCGGCTTTTAGGATAAAGCCGACGTCGTATGTTATTTTTTTTAAAAAAATAAATATATACGGCGTCGGCTTTTACCTAAACTCCGAAGCCGTATGTTAATTATTTTTTTTCTTAAAAAAAATAAATATATACGGCGTTGGCTTTTACCTAAATTCGGAAGCCGTATGTTAATTATTTTTTTTCTTAAAAAAAAATAAATATATACGGCGTCGCCTTTTACCTAAACTCCGAAGCCGTATATTAATTATTTTTTTCTTAAAAAAAAATAAATATATACGTTATCGGCTTTTACTTAAACTCCGAAGCCGTATGTTAATTATTTTTTTTCTTAAAAAAAAATAAATATATACGGCGTCGGCTTTTACTTAAACTCCGAAGCCGTATGTTAATTATTTTTTTCTTAAAAAAAAATAAATATATACGGCGTCGGCTTTTACCTAAACTCCGAAGCCGTATGTTAATTATTTTTTTCTTAAAAAAAAATAAATATATACGGCGTCGGTTTTTAGGTAATAACCGACGCCGTATGTTAATTATTATTATTATTTTAAAATATAAATAATATACGGCGTCGGATTTACCCTAAAACCCGACGCCGTGGTAAATCCGACGCCGTATGTTACATACGACGTCGGTTGTTTAACCGACGTCGTATCATTTACTTACGACGTCTCTAAAGTCGACGTCGAAAGATAACCGACGTTAAATGGGGTATTTTAACCGACGTTAAAACCGTTTTCTGTTGTAGTGAAACTTCTTCAAAATACACCTTATAAACTGGTTTTCTCATCCTCTCAACTCTTGATCCAGGAGACACTTGGGATGACAGTTGGTTTAGCTATGCAGGATATGGGGTTGTACTTGCTGATGGAACCACCAGTGCAATCTATTAATCCTCCTAAGAATGTGGTTATGACTAGTGTAAACACTGAAACTTGGCACCATCGTTTGGGGCACTCCCTAACCAATAAAATGCATTTGTTGAAAGACATTTCTATACCTTCTGCTAAGCCTTTTGCATGTGATGTGTGTCACCTTGCTATACATAAACGCTCCCCTTTCCCTTTAAGTACTACTACAAATGCCTGCTTTGATTTAGTGCATGCAGATATATGGGAGCCTTTTATAGTTTCATCTCTCAAGGGTGAACGGTACTTCCTGACCTTGGTGGATGACCACTCAAGATTCACTTGGTTGCATCTTATGAGAAACAGACCAGAAGCAAGGGCTCTAATCAGGGGATTCCACAACATGGTGCATACACAATTTCGGGTGTCCATCAAAATTATATGTAGAGACAATGGCCCAGAATTCAACATGATGGAGTTCTTCCATGAGAAGAGCATAGTGCATCAAAAAATCCTACTTTGAAACACCTCAACAAAATGTCATTGTTGAGCGTAAACAGCAGCACATCCTAGCCGTTGCTAGAGCCTTGTGGTTCCAGGCTCACCTGTCCCTTGAGTTTTGGGGCTATTGTGTCATGCACGCCACCTTCATCATCAACCGTCTCCCCTCATCGGTTATTCAAGGATCAAGTCCTAACTTCAGATTGTATAGTAAAGAACCCAATATCAGTGCTTTCAAGGTGTTTGGTTGCCTTTGCTATGCCTCCACTTTATCTCATTCTAGGCACAAGATGGCACCACGAAGTAGGAGATGCGTATTCATTGGGATGCCAGCTAATATCAAAGGGTACATCTTCTATGACACACATGACAAATACATCTTTGTGTCAAGGGATGTAACCTTTTACGAAGATCAATTCCCCTTGAAAAATGATCACTGCCTTGAGGACCCAGAGGCAGATCAGTTCTCTCCCTCTTTGCTAAATGTCTCCACCTCCATTCCTATATTCTATGAACAGGCTGGTTCAAGGCAGTAGCATGGTGTTCTACCTCCTTCTAACAGTGTGCCTTGCATACAAGAAATAGCAATAGATGAGATTCATAGCCCAAGGGAATCTAGTGCTCATCAGCATACAGATGCTGAGATTCTTAGCCCAATGAAGCCTATTATTCAACATACAGATGGTGAGTCCATACCCCCGTGCAACCCAGGCGATCAAATAGAGTTCGAAATGCCTAGGAAGATTGCAGTACTACTATTGTGATGTCATTGTGTAGCATGGATCATCACCTCATCATCTATCTAAGGTAGTCTTTTACAGTCACCTCACTCCTGTTCATAAAGCATTCTCTATAGTAGTCATATCCACTATTGAACCTAGAACATATAATCTAGCCTTAAAACATGAACATTGGAAGGAAGCTATAAATGCAGAAATCAAGGCTCTTCAAGAAACAACAATACTTGGGAGTAGTGGCGGATCCAGAAAATTAAATAAGTGGGGGCGTATTTAAGACGATTTTATAATTGTTAATTCCAAAATATTAAATACCTAAAATACGGTTCAAATACATTAATAAATTATAATAAAATGTTTATGATAGACTATATGTTAGTTAGGAATGAAGCCAAAATTGTACTTGGGTAGGGTGAAATTTTAAAACACTTTGAAATGTTATAAAAATATTTATAGTAAAATATTATGGACTACATTAACTAAATGATTCACAAAAAGGGAGTGTTGTTGGTAAGATTTGAACCCATTCCATTTCATATATGGTAACCATAGTTTAACCAACTGAGCTACTGAACTACTTGGTCATCTTTACATATGAATATATATTAATTGGAAGAGGTGAGTGGGGGCAGCTGACCCCA